TCTGCCGCGGCGGCGCGCTGCAGCCACGCGGAAGCACAACAACAAAAATAAAAAAAATCCCGCAGGGCGCAACGCGAATCACAGGCGGCCCCACACACGCACGCCACGAAACACCGATTGGAAAAAAAGCAACAGGAAACAAAGAACAACAACCACCACCCAAAACTCCCCCTTCAGAGCCACAGGGGAAGCAAACACTAACACACTCGCACTCACAGACTTCTCTTTATTTAACTTATTTCTCTTCTGCACACCACACACGCAGACACCCAGACGCGCAAAGAGAGATATCAAGGTATATTAGATAGATATATATATATATAGGAAGAAGGCGACTTTCCTTCTGCTATTGCTGCTGCTGTTATTGGGGGACGGGGGCACTGTCGTTATTGCCCGCACGTCACCTCCTCCTCCCCCACCTGCCGTAGTCGCCTGGCCTAAGGAAGCCTTCTCCGCTTTGCTGCTTCTTCCCTCTTCTGAACAGCTTTGAACGTGGAAGTGCAAGGAGGAGTGGAGGAAAAAACAAATAAATAAATAAAGAGAGAGAAAACCAGAGGCAATAAGAAGCAGGATCAACAAAAGAGGGGAAAAAAAGGCACCAAGAAAAAATGAGTACCCCCAGACACACGCGCGCTCAGACAGAGAGAGAGAGAGGGATAGTCATTTACATCACATACGCAGCAAGAGAAACGAAGGCATGTACAGTTCAACACAGAAGTAGAAATGTAGTGTGCAAAGGCGCACATGTGTGAAAATACATAAATAATGAGCCATACACACCACGCACACACGCACACACACACTCGTTGGAACGAGCGATGGCGCATACGCACCGGACAGAAAGAAGAAGATAAGCCCGTTTCCTTTGCTGCTTACTTTCTTTTCCTGTTATTCTTGCTGCCTGCTCCACAGCGGAGGTCAGGCAATTTCCCAGACCCCCAATGGTCGGCGGAAGAGAAGCATGGAGAAAGTGTGAGAAGCACAACAATCACACAAAACAAACGGTAACACTCCGCTTGGACGGCGCTTGTCTGACACGGCATGAAACATCTATTACCAGGCCATCCCCACACTTGGGCGGCCAAAGCAGCGGGCGGCGATAGAGCCGTGAGAGAAACACAGAGGAGGCAAGTGCGGCGCCCCGTCAGCTTGGCCTCCAACGTCGCCCGTGAATTGCTCGTTGCCCCCCGACGCGTGAACCGCACTCCCAGCCGTGCTCGCGCCCCTCCTCGGCGTCTAGAGGAGAAAGCAAACCTCAAAGTCGCGCTCGCCGTTGCCGCAGTACACCTGACCCGAGTCGCTTGTGCCAGGGCGGTACCAGAAGAGTGATCCGTTGAAGAAGAGATTCTGCACCGTGACCATGCTCGCAGTGGGATCGTACTTCACCACCCACACCCCCTGCGGCTCGTCATCGGTGATGGGCGAAAGCTGGTCCGTCACGCTGCTGTAGGTTGGGCCATACAAGATGCGATTCCTATCGTGCCTGCCGGGGTGAAAGGCACGCAGGTAGCACGACGGCTTCATCGCGTGGCGCACGGGTTGGCCGGCAAACATTACGTTCTTTGATGCTCCGCCACCGTTCGGCGTAAACACATACTGCCCCCGCACAACAAGCGTGCACGCCGCATCATGCAGCTGAATAAAGTGCGCCAGTCGAACTGTTTCTGGAACGGCGAGAATCATAAACTTTGGTCGCTTCTTCTTTGGCTGCTCCTCATGCTGCTCCTCATCGTCCTCTTCCTCCTCCTCCTCCGCCTGCTCTTCGGCGCCCCCCTCCTCCTCCTCCTCCTCCTCCTCTTCCTCCCCGCCCTCCTCGCCCTCCTCTTTTCCCTCCTCCGCAGCGCCGTACTTTTCACGCGCCGCAGTCAACGCCTCGTCTGCGTCGGGCACCGCCACGGTCGGCTCGGGTTCGGGCGGAATGTCGCGACGGACTTTGTACATAAACGTCGGGTCGCCCATGTAAACGCCGCGCAGCTGGTCGCAAAACGCCGCCTCGTCCTCGGTGACGGGGTCCAAGAGACGCCACGAGGTGCCGCCGTCGCCGCTGAAGAAGCTGAAGCGTTTGCCAAACACCCCGTCCGGCATGGCCTGCGCCACGAGGTAGTCCCCCTTGTAGCCAAGAACCTTGCCCCAGAAACGCACGTGCGTCTCGTGCCGCGCAGACAGCAGTGGAATGGAGGACTGCAGCGCCGCCCGCTCGGCGATGCTGAGGGCGCAGCCCACAAATGGAAGCCCGTCGGCGTCGCCAGCAACCGATGACATCGCCGGGGGTTAAATGTCTCACCAACTGCAGTGGAAGCGGCAAAAAAAAAAAACGTGGCAGAAACTCTACGAATGCGCAAAACCAAGACGGGAGACGCACAAAAGCAGAGAAAATCCAGTCGCGTCGGCCGAATCTTCTTCTTCTGCTTCCCCTCTACGTGGCTCCTTCCTGCGGTGAAGAGAACCCGAGGGAGGGGGAAATAAGAATATATATAAAAAAAGGGGGGGATGAGAGCAACAGCATCCACACGGCAACGCCGCTCGCGGGGGAACGTGGCTCACCCACGCGCAGCGCAACATCCGCGCCGACGCACCGAAACAGGAATAAAATGTCCGGAGCGAAAAGAAAAAAGGGATTCTGTAAATAGGAGCCTACCCACCCTGCAAAGACCTCAGCGGGCACTTCGCCCCTTCCCCCCACCACCACAGCCACCAAATACTCTTTTCACAGGCTCGCCATTTCGAGAGGGCAAAAAGCAAAACTTGCCTACAAGCATCAGCAAATAGTTTCTTTTCTTCTTCGTCCTTTTTTTCTTTTAGTAAGCAAAAATAAACCCTCACAGGTATCTGTATTGTTTTGTGCCTTTTTCCACCCGCTCCTGCCGCCTCAGTGGTGCCGTGCGGATGTCCTGATCCGTCATGTACATTACTCTCTCCGGCACCGTCGCGGAAACGGCAAGGACCTCGCGTTTGACCATCGCGGTCTCTCCGACGCACGCGCGCCCGTCCTCCATAGCCCGCTTCGCCGCCTCAAAGCTCCAGGTAAAGACATATTCATGGCTGCAGGCTGTGATGCAGGTCTCACGACCGTCCTCAAACCGGTCAAACCCGCCAGAAGTAAAATTCAGATCGTCAATTCCCCCAACCGCGTCTAGCTGCTGAGGGGTTGGCTGAAGTCGCAGCGGTGTGGGTTTGTTTTTGCCCATTCGCGACATGAATCCATTTTTCTTGGAACTGTCCTCATCCATGTATACCGTCCGCATAAGTAGCAGGTACTTGGAACATACAGCCAAGACGTAACTGCCGTCTGCTGTCACGTCCACGGAGACAATAGGCACTTTCGTGTCCAATAGCGTCTTTGCTGTCTTTGGGTTGTACTTGCCATCCGGCCGGCGGCTCCCAGGAGGTCCAGAGTACAGGCGAATGGCTCCTGCAGTGTCGCCAATGACAAGGTGGCCTGCGGCCGAAGTTGCATGACAAGTGAATGGTTTTTTTACCGACAGTTTGTAATCCAACAGCGTCTTCCCGGCCTCTGTCACAATGTTATTCCGCGGGTCCATGCGCAAGTCCATGTTGAAGGCGACGTTGTTCGCAAGGCATGTGTAGACGGGCTGCGGCCCAGCCACGTGGGCGCTGTGCGTCACCGAGCGCACAGAGACAGGCAGCTCATATTCTTTTACCACCTTGCCGTATTCCATGTCCACCTCATGCAGCCGCTTCTCATCCACGCTGAGAAGCAGCATCTTTCTCTCCGTGTCGTCCAGCAACGCACTGTCACACATGGAAACCGTATCCAGCGTGAACTTTTCCGGAGCTTTCCTGTCAAAGCCATCTACAGCAAAAGCATGCGCCTGAAACTCAATCCCATTTCGCTCTTTGCGCATCACCAGTGCCCGGTCAAACCGCTTGGATTCTGTGCAGCACACATTGCCCCTGCCTGTGGCGTGTGCGCATTCATGTGACACGTCCAACTCATACATAGGCTCCTCGTACGCGTCCCCAGGCAACCGCGAGGTCGCAATGGCGGAGAGATACTCGTAGTCCTCATTGTCTGGGACGGTGCTGTCCACGGAGGTGCCCGTCATGAGGGCGTAGGTGCAACGGTTGTAAATCAGAATAAATTTGCCCAGCAGCTCAGTCGCCTTCACTTTGGGATCGTCGTCCGTAAAGAGAAACGCAATGGACTGCAAATTACCGTCGATGAAAGCGGACCAGTGCACGGAGACCTCTGAGTATGCGAGGGTGAGACCGTTGCCGATGGGCTGTCGCAGTACCTCCTCATCGTACTCGTACAAAATAATCTCGTAGCAACGAGAAGGAGTCTCTGCTTCATCGGCCTCAATGGATATCGTGTACTGACCCACGCTCTCAGTGCCGCCTATTGGCTCATACACACCATTTTGTTGGAAGTACAACGTGCCACAGCCCGTGAAGAGGGTCGTGGTCGAGCCCTGCTTCATGGCAGCAAACCCTCGTCGTAGCATCTCGTCTCGCAAACGTGCAATATTCTAAGAGTCTTTTATTTCCCTATTTATTTCTTTTTTTTCGTTTTTTTTTTACTTTCTGGCTTCGTGGGAAATAAAAAAATCAAAAGATAAAGTTGCAGAGACGCACAGCAGCCCCGCAAGAGAGCGCCTGCGTGGTCTTGCAGAGATGTGCGTTGCAGGTGGCGGCTCAGTTTTCTTCAGCCGCTGGCTGTGAGCAAGACGACCCGCTTCTCATCCATTCCTTCTCTCATCGCTTTCTCCTTCTTCCCTTCGTTCTACACCTCCACCTTTACCACCCCTCGCGCTGGTTCCCTTTGCCCCGTGCTTTTCAAGGCGATTCCACCTCAGAACGCACAAGTTGCACTGCCTGGGCGAACGCACGCAGCAGCTGCTGGTGCTCCGGCTGCCCAGTACGCAGCATCGGGTTTTCAAACCAGCGCGCCACCACCGTCCCCTCCGACTGCGAGGTCACGTAGCACAGACCGCTAAAGTGCAGCAGTCGGCAATTGCGATTCATTACGGTTACGTCGGGGAAGTATCGGTATGTGCTATTCGTTAGGAGACTAAGCAAACGCCGGCGAAAAAGTGGCTCCTCCTCGCTATTCCGAGCCCGAACTGTGTATCTGACCACGAAGAAACCGCTCTTCACAGTCGGACAAGGGCAAGGGAGAGGCACCGCCCGCAACCGGAAGCGCGCAGCACCGGCAAAAATCGAATTTATCCAATCTGAAATTATCGGTGTGATGCAAACCAACCAAGACAGCTCTAGTAGGCAGTGGCACCTGGGACTGTAGGTTGCCGGTATTCGCACCTCCGTGGAGAGCATGCGATTCCTGGTGGGCGCCTCCAGGCAGAGCGTGCGCCCTGTCTTGTGGTCCAACAGGCAGTGCGGCTTGAGCGTCAGTGGGTTCTCGTGGTTGAGCGTGACGGTGCGGGTAGGCATGGCGTCCGGCCAGTCCATCGTGTCCGGAATGTTGGTCGTCAGAGCGGAACTATCCTCCTCCCCCGCCGCGGTCCCTTTCATCGTGAAGTGTGCGCAGAAGCGGTGGTTGATAAACATGGCGAACTCCTCGTAGGAGACGGGTGGGGCGTCAAAGGCGTCTCGCAGCAAGGCGAGGCAAAACTTGCCCTCCCGCAACGACCACTCCGGGTTGCGCGGGAGGAAAACCCCCGGGCGGTGACGGTCGCGGAGGTAGGAGTCGAGACTCTCCCATCGGAAACCGGCCTGTTCCCCAATCTGCGTCTCCAGCCGAAGCCTGCGGACGCTGAAGCCAGGCCGCAGATAGTTAAGGAGGAGGTAGGAGTAGGATATCGCGTGGGTCACAGAGGCGTTGCTGTACATGCCGCTGTGTAGCATGCGCGTCACAGAGATGCTCTGTCCCGCCTCACCAATCTTTAACTCGTGAACCTGATGCCCAATGGACAAATCCAGCCGCGCATTCCGTGTGGGCTCCTCCCGCGGCCACTGTATCCCTGCCAGGGAGGCGCCAACCACGACGATCTGGTACTGCTGGTGCAGCCGTTGCAGGACGTACTCCAACAGCTGCATACTCTCCCGAATCGAGACAGAATACTGATGGGTAGGGATACCAAAAAAGCAGTCGCGCTGATAGGGTGACTTGGTCCCATAGATGGGGAGAATTTTGCAGTGGCACAGCGCCGTCCATGGGGACTGCTGCGCCGCGGGGGACGGCAACTCGGGGTGGGCAAACTGCCAACGTCGACGCAGCAGCACATCGGTGGTGATGTTGTGCGAGGCCGCTGCCGCCGTCTCCGTCTCCGTCGCCGGCCGGTAGGGGCCTGTGGGTTTGATGGCAAACAACACGCTGTTGCGTATCTGCACGTGGGCGACGGTCATTGAAAACGGGGCGAGGTCGTCGTCAGCCTCAAACAGGGCTGGGCGATATGTGAAGATGATTTCCTCCGGCGTCGCGAACGTCACCGTGCTGCTGCGCGACGCCAAGATCAACGTGAGTCCGTCCGCCATGATGGCGGAGAAGGCGCGGCAAAAGATGTCCACCGCCCGCAGGTGGGAGACGAAGTGCGTCTGCTCCTCCTCGGAGAGGCGGTTGTCCTCGCCCGAGAAGGCACCCATCAGCACGGCCCACACGTCCGCGTCGGTGAGAATTTTTGGCGACCACCGCACCCGCGGCGCGACAGACGCATCAATGCAAAGCCTGAGGAACACGTACCCGCTCTGCAGATCGCTATCGAGAATGTTCAACCCGCAGGGGACGACGCCGGCCGCTTCCAGCTCCAGCCCGCCGTGTCTTGCGCGTCCATCCCCGGCATTCTCCTGAGTGCTGTTGATGATGACACTGTACATGCATTCGCGACTCGGCGCCTGCTGCCGACCCACCCCGCAGCCGTGGTGGCAGTACCATCTCGCTAGGAGGAACGGCCGACCGCCTTGCCTAGGCGTGGTGCACGTCTTCGCATCCCCCTCCAGGTGCAGTGCGCCGGGTCTCCGCGGCAGAGCAAGCTTCTCCCCTCGCATCGCGCCTTCGTGCTCGGTACGCGTTCCAGCGAGACGCGAACGCGGATGCGCCGTGACGGGCGTGTCAGAAGAACAAGTAGGAGGTAACGGGCGGCTGTGTGCCCCGCCGCCCTCTAGCGGGGCTGGCTGTGCGGAAGTAAACTTCGGGGTGAGGAGCGCGTCCAAGTCCGACGCCCGCGAGGCGCTGCGGAAGACCTGTCCCACTTGCTCCGTCGCCATCACTGGCAATAAAACGTCCTCCAGTGGCGCCATTGGCAACCCCAGTCCCGGAACAAAGTGATCGGTGCCCCCCTGCATCGCACGATGCCGCTGCATCCACTCCTCCCTTGTGAGAAGCTCAAACGCCATGCGACCGCACGAGGTGGCGTCCGCAGCAGGGTGGTAGAAAAAGCAGCGTGCCCACTCCGGTCTCTCGTAGAAGCGGCGATTGCCCTCGTCCACGCGCAGGTGGTACTGCGGGCGAAGCGTTTTGTCCTCCGATAAGTACTCCAGCAGCGGTGTGGTGTGCAGCGGTGGGCGGCCCATACAAATAATGTTGACCTTCTCAATCCCAAGGTCGTAGAGGCGTGTGCAGGTGACTTGCAGTAGGTCATTGGTGACTTGATAGAGCCCTTTTCCGGCAGAGATGACACTGATGAGGTAGCCCGTGTTCGCATCCCACTGCCGCTGGATGCAGTTCTCAAGCACAAGGTTTATGGACGCCATCGTGCAGCTGTTTTTGGCGTGAACAAAGAGGTGCTGCTCCGTCAGCGCCTCGGCGAGCCCCGCGGTGGCGACGGTGGAAGCCGCCGCACGAGAGGCAGGCAACGCGTCCCCCGCCTGCTCTCTTAAGTTGGCCTTGACCTCGTGCAGCACGCGACGAAGAAACACCTCGCACTGAAGCTCCACCTCCTCCACAAGCGAAGGGGAGCGATAGTCGTGCGTGATCGTCATCGCGTGATGGACGTCGACGTGTCCCCTGATGGCGTACTGTGGGTAGAGCCGCCCCACCATCAAGACGTGAATGAGGAGGGAGGCCTTGTGCCGCTGCAGCTGCTGCGTCAAGTACTCCCTAAGAAAGTTTTTCATGACCCACGAGAGCGTGATACGGCCGTCCACCGTGGGGTCCCACATCTCCTTGGATATCTCAATAATGACGTGGTGCACGGCGGAGAGGGAGCGAAAATTCACCAACGTCTCGCTTGTCACGAGCCCGCTCTGCACGCGACGGTAGCGACGCTCCTTCTTTTCGTCTTGCTGCGGCTGCTGGGGGAGCGGGGTGTGCGATTGGGCGGAGGCGCGCTGCGCCCCGGACGCCTTCGCTGCCGCCCAGGCGGGGTCAACCGCCTTGTGCTCGCCATCCGCGTCCGGCGGCGCCGGGCGGCAGCTGCCGCTGCTCTTGACGTTGTCGCACTGCGGCAACGCCCCCGCGACGGGGCTCTCCGCCGCCGGCTGCAGGACGCGGAGCATCTCATTCACCCTCATCCTGAACCCGCACAGCGCCACCTCCTCGCCCGCGTACAGAATGCGGTCCCGCAGCGCCTCCGATATCAGAAACATGTCGGCGCGTGACACGAACTGGTTCTCAAAAGACAACTCCACGTGCGATAAGCCGAACCGCTCCCGCACCTCGTCGTAGGTTGGCACCACACGCGCCAGTGCCTTGCCCTTTGCGATGTCGTTGATAAACGGACTTTTGTTCGCCAACGACTGGTGGACGCTGATTGCGCCATTCGCGTGCGCCGCGTCCTTCTCGCCAAAGCAATACGCACGGCAGACCCAGCTGTCATGCCTGGAAGAGGCCACAGCCGCAGATGACGTGCAAAGGCCTGCCTGTGGCTGTGGCGGCTGTGATTGCGGCTGCCGCCGTGATGCGCTCGACTGTGTCGCGGTGCCGCCCGCAAACGAAACCGCATGTGCAGCCTCCGTCAATGCCGCTCCCGCTGGCGCAAGCGAGGCGGGCACCCGATGCGCCGCGTCCATCGGGCTGGGCATCGTCGGTGTGGCCGCTGACGACGTCGCGTGCCCCTCCTTGCCGGGCTGGCGGGGACAACTGCCCGCACCCCTGCCGTCACCACCGCTGCTGACGACGTGCGCGTCGCCGGGAAAACAAATTTCAATAATGGCTTCCGTGAATCCCTCCCCCTCGCTCGGCATGGGGCGGTTGTAGTTTTTTGGACAGTAGAGAAACGGCGCCGCGGCAACGCTGTCCGTGTGGGCGCGGAATACGACAGTCACCGGAGTGTCGTTTTGCCCCGCGGCCCCCTCTGCCGCCGCGTGGCGCGGCCTGCGACGCAGCCCCACACACTGCATGTCCGCAGCGGACGTGCGCCCCGAATGGCCTGCGTGCGCGCAGCGGTGCCTCTCGCTAAGCTCCATCCGAGCCACGCCGTGACGGGACCGCAACTTTTTTTTGCTTTGTCATGAGGGAGCGGCGAGAGAGAGAGAGAGAGAGAGAAAGAGCGAACACAGTCCAGCCGCCCGGCAAGCAGGAAGTGACGTCCCTCTCGGAACGAGGGGGCTGAGCGAAGAAATAGTACGAGTGTGGGAGCGAAGGAGGACGCGGCCGCGCAAGCACCAAAAAAAAAACAACAGAACAAACGTACAAAAAAAACGTACGGCGGGGAAACATTTCATGTTAGACCCTTTTGTTTAGTTGCCTGTCTGTTTGCTTGTTTGTTTGTTTTTTTCCGCGTGCGTGTGCGGTATGTGTGCCTGTGGGGAGGCGAGGGTGTCCCCGCTTTCCCGCAGGAGAATCACGCGCACAGTCCCTCCCGCCCTTCACGAGCCCGTGTGGCAAACGCCAAGCGTGTCACACAACAGACGATACGCCGCGTTCAGACTCTCCTGCCGTTTCTCCTCCTGCTGAAGACGCCAACGCTGCGCCTCCTCCCGCGTGCGTCGCTCCTCCAGCACCGCCGCGGCGTGCGCCTCGTCCCGCCCGCGCAGCTGCGTCTCCAACTGCTCCACGCGCCCCAGCAGCGCCGCCTCCCGCTCCCGCCGCTCTCGGAGCTCCGCCCGCAGCTCCGAGGTCTGCTGCCTCCAGTCGTTTACTTCACACCGCGCGCTCGCCTGCAGCGACGCAAGCCGCGTGTTGAACTCCAGCGCCATCTCCGCCAGCGCCTCCTCGACGGTCGTCACGCGCGCGAAAAGCCACGGCGGGGCTGTCGCGGTCGCGGTCGCAAAGTCTTCGTCGCGCAACGACGGCGTCGCCCATGCAAGCAACTCGGGCGGCTCCCGCTCCGCCGCGGCCCCACCCCATGGCCGTACCGCCCGCGTCTCCTCACAGGACTCTAACAGCGACGACAACGACGACGACGACGACGATAACGGCGGTGGCGGCGGCGGCGGCGGCAGGAGATCCGTCGGGGACCGCGGCCGCCGGCAAGTCGCCGCACACGGCGCGCAGCGGATGAGGGACAAACCCCCACGCGCAGCCAGGCGTCGCCGCAGCAACGCCCGTAGCTCGCCGCAGGAGACGGGCTCCGCCGGCGTGGGCCTCGCCTCTTTCCGGACTGAGGGCCCTTCAGCAGCAACAGCAGCCGGCGGCGGCGCCGCCTGCGCGGCAGATCCGGCGGGGCGCAACGATCCCCCGCAGACGTAGCAAAAACGAACAGGCCGGTCCGCCGCAGGCTGAGGGCAAGCGCCACCGCCGCTACTTCGCAGGCACACGGCCGCGCGTGCGCCACAGGCTTCACACCGCATAGGGCTCTCCTCCATGCGACCACTGCCTTCGGCGCAAAGCGGAGGAGACGCCACACAAAAGTAGGAGACAGAGAGGGCAGAGAACAGCAGAGCCGTAAGGGAAACGGGAACGACGACACCAACACCGATGGAGCACCAACCACATGCCCCCATGAACGTGTATACTCACAGAAGTATTTACTAAAAAAAGGAAAAAAAAGGGGGGAGGGGTCGTGTTGCGTGAGAAAACGTCGTTGCAGCACATTTGGTAGCCATATAGTACGAGCAACCCCCTCTACTGAAAAAGACATACAAGCAAGCACAAACTACTAGATGAGAGAGAAAGAGAAGGCAACCGGAAAAAAAAGAGAAAAATAAAAAAGATGGAAAAGGCTTCAGTACAAATCTAAGCACCTTTTTTGCATTCCTTTTTTTTCGCCTCTCGTTCTTTCTCTCGCTCTTCCTTGGTCTCTTTTACCGCCTTGGGGACAATTTTTTGCTTCGCTGCTCTGCCCGGGTGAGCAGTAGGAATCTCATTACGTGCATACGTGCGTAACATTAGCCAAGCAACGTACGCCTGTAAAGTCGGGGTGCGTCAGCAATGCCTCTACGCACTCCCACTTAGCTCTCCCTCCGTGAGAACATTAAGGCGTTGCCGATACAATTCGGCGCCACCTTCATGCACGGTGCGTGAAGTATTCGCCACGCCCCCCGCGGCGGCATCGTCGTCGCGGCGGTCTTCATTGTCGCCTGCCGCATGGCGTCTGTCCGCTGCCGCCGCGGCCACGCACTCTTCACCCTTGATGTGTAACAGGAGCTCCATGTTGGCAATGACCACCTCCAGCGTCTCCGCCTTCACCTCATCGCGGGTGCGCACCTCGAAGAGGAGGTTGTTGGCGCTCAGGCATGACCCAAAGCGTCGCCGCAGCAGCCCCCACTCGTGCTGCGTGATGGCCATAGCCAAGTTCAGCATCGTCATCATGAAGAAGAGGATAAACAGCATCGTCATGACATTCGCAAGAAGCGTGACGATGGGGTGCACCGACCGCTGGGCGTCCTCAATGGCGGGAAGGATGGCGTCGCCAAACATCACAAAGTAAAGCCCCACAAGGGAGAACCCCACGTCGGCAAATTCCCCGTCCGAGTGAGGCCCAAAGACGATGGAAAAGAAAAAGGCGAAGCCAACAAAAATGGGTGCCACACTCGCCGCGAAGACGAGGAGTCTCGGAATTACGCTCCGCATCGCTTGCACTGGAAAGTACATGTGTGGAAAGTACCGAAGATACGAGAGAACGCTCACGGAAAGAAGCAAACCCGTCAGACCCAAGAGAATACCTTCAACCGTGTTGTACAACTCTGGAGTGGGGATGCCCCAGAGCCGCGCCGAGGTTGCGATGCTGTACGCCAGTGTAAAGAAGTCGGCAGCAAGCGCAATATAATGCCAAGACTCCCCTAGTGAGTTTTGCAGTTGCTCACGCCAGGCATCGTAGAAGTCGGTGTACACGGTCTCCGGCACCAGTGAGCCGGCCTTTGGGATGTATTTCACCCGCTTCAGCTTCGTCTTTTGCGGTTGCGGGGGATGCGTCGAAGCAGTCGGCGGCATGCGACACGCCGCGGTGTCGTACTGCGCCCGTGGCGGTGCATCGGGGGTCGTCGCGTGCGCCGCAGCCTGCGCAGAGGCGCCCGCGTCATCTCCGTGGGCGAAGGAGCCCAAATTTTCCCCCTCCTGCGTGACGTCCTGCGAGACGGCAGTCTTTCGCCGGTACACCGCTATCCGCCGCAGTGCCTTCAAGCGCAGAAATACGTCGCATACGGCAAGGAGCAGCAGCATTAAAGTGAAGAAGAATCGTGGATACGCGCCCGGGTGAAAACGGCTCGTGACAACCGACACCACAAACTCCACCTGCACCAGACCACCAGGGTGAAAGGAGAAAATCTTCTCAATCGTCCAGTGATAGATAACGGTTGAAAAACCACCGACCGTCTCTTGGGGGTTCAACAAGGCATCCGTCAAGTGCCGCATTGAGGCTTTTAATCGAAGCCGCTTAACATTGTCCAGTAAGGGGAAGACAAAGACGTCATTCTTGTCCTCCCCGCTCGCGTCCAGTGATCGACGGCAGGGGCTGTAGTACAGGCCGGTGAGGTCATCATAGCGCGGGGCACACACCGCCCGCACGTACCTGTTCCCCTTCACCGCGGCGGCACGAAGGCCATCCTCGTCAGGCGATTTCGCTGCCGGGGCATCAACCCGGCGCTCCGCAGCTTCGTCCTTTGGCACCTTTTTGTCCGTGGCCTCCGCCTTGTCCTCCGAAAAGGGGCCTAGCGGATTTGCCTCTGTCAGCTGCGCTGTAAAGTGCCGCAGTGGGGCGGGGCCCCCGTACTCCCTCTGCGAGTAAAGGTACGCATCCACCTCCATTGTCACCGGCACCACACAGGCGAGCCTCGCCGCCGCACTGGCGTCGTCCTCCGTGGCGGTAGGGCAGGCAGAACCGCCTGCCGCCTCGCGCCCCAACGCCTGCCGCAGGTGTGCAGCCGTGTCCTCGGAGCCTGTATAGTAGTAATAGTTCAACTCACTCACGGAGGCGTTGGAAAGGGCGTAGTAGACCTTGACAAACCCCTCAATCTCGTTCAAGACATCGTCGATTTTCTGCAGGTAGAGTGTGGGCCGCAACTTAATATTTCCCTTATCCTTCCCAAGGTAGTTGTCCCCCGCAAACGAGTGGAGCACGGCCTTGCGCTGCTCCTCGCTGGCGATCGCCTCCGGCGTGTGGCAAAGGACGGCAATCAAGATGACAAAGGCAAGCATGAGACAGGTCACAACCAACTTGTACGGAAAGCTGCCATGGCGTATAAGCTTACGAATTGGGTCGGTGGTGAAGTCATCCTGCAGCAACCGGTGGTGCTCCTCGGTGCATTCCCCCAGCTGCGAAGAGCCCCGCGGCGAGAGTGGCGCGAGCGATGACCGCCTCAGCCCCAAGTCCGTCCGCCGCTGCTGCTGCTGCTCTCGCGAGTCCCCGTGGTGTGGCTCGCCGAGGTCCACATTCGTGGCGTGGGGACCCGCGCCTCCGCCCTCCCGCACCTCCCTCGCCAAGAAGGCCGAGGCAAAGGAAGGAGGTGCATGCCGCTGATGCTGGAGCTTGTCGTCCTGCTTGCTCATCCCGCGGTACTATTCCCTGCACGTGAGAAAGCCACAAACAAGACCGTTTCACCCAGACCTCAACCACACACTCACTCACCCACGCACACGCACAGATAGACAGAGGGACAGAGAAAGAAAAAAAATAAGGGGGATAGAGAAAGAGAGAGAGGGGGGGGGGAAAAAAAAAGGGAAGGTAAAACGGTTGGGTGCGGGGTAAGTGTTGACCCAATAATATATATAAATACACATGTATACAGCAATAACAGAATAACATGCATCGTTATGAAATGACAACAAGAGCAGCACCACACACACAGAGAGAGAGAGAGAGAAGAAAAAAAAAGAGGAGGAAAGAATATATAAAAGAAAGCAACCCCATGGAAATGCATGGTGGAAAGGAAGGAAGCGGCGCGAAATTAACGGAGCGTCATCATTCGTCACAGCACCGCCTATACATATACATATATATATATATGTCTGCGAATTAACCGAAGAGCCTCCTCACGGCATCCCCCTCGGCCCTCAAATTGGGCCCCAAGTCCGTCGAACGGTAACTTGCCTCAAGGTCCTCCCTGTCAAAGTAAAGATAGCGCGATAAGTTGAGCGTCTCCCGCACATCAAAAAAGTAATCTGTCGCCTCAGCAAGGTCGAGCAAAGCCACACCCTGCCCCGCCGCCCGCGCCAGAACAGTCCTGCGCAATAGCTCTGGTCGTTGCCGCCAGTACTCCGGCCAACTCTCCACCCCGCCGCAGCGTCCGCGGCTCAGTCGCCACTTGTCGTGAAAAAAGCGTTGAGAGTATCGCCCATTGGCAAACATCTCGCAGAGCCAACTCATGCCGTAGCGGCAAAGTGCCGTGTTGAAGCATGTCGCGAGTGCTGGACGCAGATGCATCAAACGACGGCATTGGTCAGCCGTAACGGAGTAATTCGGAGGCCTGTGCGTTCGGCCGCGAAATCGACGACTTTCAACATGACTCTCATGCAAGTAAAATATGCGACGAAGCGAAATGTTATTCACAACGTCCGTCCAATTGGCAGGGTCCAGGAAAACGGCACGGTAATGATGCCGCGCCTCAAACGAGACAACAGCTGTGCTCCCTGCATCATGGCTAAAGTGCAAAGAAGCCGCATTTTCCTTGAACGGCGTTGGAGCGAAATGTACACGCCATAACGTACCTCGGCCTCGCACAAACGCAATGGCCCGCTGCATTAGGGACGCAAATCGTTCCAGATTTATACGAACATTGTAGTCAGGCATGTAATTGTGCAGCCCACGCAAGGGTTGCTGTATCGACGTCTCTGAAAGCGGAATCTCACTGTACCAGGTGAGGCGCACCCATGGAATGGTTGGGGGGAACCAGTCAATATTCCCACCCGTGTTGAAGCGAGGATCCACGCGGATAAGATCCGGCAGCGACCACCAGGCGTCCGGCGTCGAAATGTTGCGTCGGTGAAGATGTGGCGAATGGTACACCAGCGGAATCGCCACGAAGACGGAGCCGGGGTTCATCAAAAAGAAGGTTGTCGCCAAGGTGCCCTCGTTGCAAACAAAAATGTCCGTTGCCAACATCATCTCCACCTGCTCCCTCGCACTGTGGCCCACGATACTCTCCAGCAGAAACTCTACACCACTCCGCGCCGATCCAAACCGTTTCTGGAGAAAAAGAAGAAGTTCCTGGTCATTTAAAATACCACGTTTGTCTTTCTTTTGGCATATCGACACGCGCAGCGGACTTTGGGGGCCCGGCAAGGCAGCAAAAGCCCCACTTCGGTGGGAAGGCTGCTGAGCCCCAGTGATGCGTACGATGTAGTGTCGAAAGGCGTACCACAGCGCGGGGGATCCGCTGGCCGCGTAGGCACTTGACACCCAACTCCAGCTTTTTGTGCCCGTGCCTGCCAGCAGTCCGCGGTAGACGCCCGAGGGGAGTGCCAAATCATATATCGCCGGTCGCCGAGACATGAACGCAAACGCCTTGTTCGAATTAGGGAGCCGATGCTGTGGAAAGTAACGAAACGAGGCAGCGAGGAGCTGCGCGTCTGGCAGGGCCTCAGCGAGAAACTTTACCTCGGCGGGAAATGCATGCGCGAGTGTGCGCTGGAGTTCCATAGAGCCCCAGAAAAAACCGAATAGGTCGCATAGGAGCGTGTGCGCAAAGTTCCATGGCGCCACAGTTGGAAGAAAGTACGCCACCAGCATATTATGATGCGGCACAGCGACCTCGTCGTGCCGCCCCCACCGTGCCCGCTGCGCCTTCTCGCGAGGGCGTCTGCCTAAAACGACTACTGGAGTGTAGGCAAAGGCCCAGCGAGACTTCCGCCGCAGCGTCTCCGCCTTTGCGCGTGGCAGCTCTAGCGGCCTCGAACTCAGCGACACGGGTGGCAGATTCAGCTTCCCTGCGGCCAGCAGTCGGCGGTGAGTGGAGGTGTTTTGAAGGTAAAAGAAAAACTTGTTCCGCCTGTTGTCAAAGTACACAAACGTGTACAGGCAGGTGCGATTGTAAATGGGGTAATAATAACTATCCATTGACCCCATCGTCATATCCGGCTCCGTTAGGGTCGCGATGTCCACCAGGTCTGGCGAGAGCACACCATTCACCGCGACATCCACGCGTTCCGTGGCCACGGCGCCGTCCGCACGGTCCCTTGGCCCATGCGCCGGCCTGCCCGCAAACGACGAGGGCGCCGCGGTGGCACTGCGTGGGTCGTTAAATTTGTGTCCCACGCAGTAGAGGGAGGAGTAGGCCTCGCCGTCCTCCGGCGGCGGGGCAGAGACGACGCGCCGCACGCCAGCCGCAGCAGCCTCATCCGGAAAGGCAGGGGCGCCGAGGTTAAGGGACACCAGCCAAAGGAAAGAAACTGCCGCGGCAAACGCCACGGTCGCCCGCCACAAGCACCTCGGCGACAGCCGGCATCGGCCCATGCGCTCCAAACCCACCGAATGAGTGAGAGAGTGCGAAGAGCGATATAAAATAAAATAAAATAAAAGGGCGGACTCGCTTATCTTTCTTTCCTTTCCTTGTGTTTGTGGGGGTGTAATTCCTCTGCTGGCATGTGATGCAACTCAAGGCAACAACAACAAGAAAAAAAAAAGTGCACATGTAATTTGTCACCCACGCCAACGGTGAACAAAGTCGTGGCTCTTCTTCGCACCTCCGCGGCAAATGACGACCCATGAAGTTGCTCTCGGTCCCTCCTCCTCTCTCTATGCGCGACCTCCATTTTCCCCACCCCTCTGCTGAAAGGTTACAAATGGTGCAAAAGATGCATTATTACACGCAGCAAAATGCTGGCTGGCGCTTGGCCATCTTTTTTTTCTTATTATTTGCCCCAACATTTTGCTGTTTGGTCCGCCTCGCTCCTGCTGTGCTCGCCGCGATCGTTGCTGCAGACGCATACATTCCTTCCACCCACAGCGGCGTGCAGAGACGCACGCACCTTTGTGTGCGTGTGTGTGTGTGTGTGAAGAAGGAGGGTCTGCTTCCCTGCTGGGAGAAAAAAAACAAACAAAAAAAACGACGTTCACTGGAGCCGTCAGAGGCGCCTTAGCTCTTCCTTGTCGGCGTACATGCCTATGGAGGTCAAGGCTGCACGCCTTCCCCAGACCTTGTCGGTGAGTGCCCGTTCCTCTGCCCGCCCCGCTTCCCCTTCGCACAGTCGCGAGTACCACCCCTCTCACGGCACCTCGAAGCGAACCACGCGGGCCTCTTCCGCAGTTCACGCGCCGCGAAGAAAAAACCCACGGCGTCCGACGAGAACACGTCCCAAACACCCTCCCCTCCCCTCCCCTCCCCCGGTGCGGCCGGAATGCAAAAGCAACGGAGACAGCGGGGAGGAGCTGCCGAAGCAACGCCAGCTGGCATCCAAACAGCCCCATCGTCGCACAGATGCTGCTCCACAAGAAATGAATTCACGGCATCGCGGAGAAGGGCTCCAGTCACTCAGGCCTCAACCATTTGGTTTTCTTGCCACCAAGCCCACCTCCTCTTGTGGCTTTCCGCCAGTGTTGTGATTCCCATCTTTGGCTTGGCCACCCACCTAAAAGTCCCTCACTCGACTCCTCGCTGCTGCTGCCGAAGTCCCCGTCAGCCATCCTGCCAGGGGCGGCTTCCCGGCCGAGAAGGGAAGCGGATGGGGCACTGGACGACGCATTCCAGCGGCGTCCTGGGCCACGTGCAACGCCCGTGGCGGTTGTTGCATCACGCAGCGCCGTGCTTAAGAGGGCTTCCTCGAGCAGCTGCGCCTCCGAAAAAAACGTGTCGAGGTAATCGTCGAGTGCGCCCTCATCATTCACGGGCTTCGTTGGCTCCGCACTCTCCTTCACGGAGGAAATGGGCTCCGCCGCCGGCGCCACAGGTCCTGTTGCACTCGTCGAAGTTGGCTGTGGCGGCGCAGCACCATTCAGGACTGTCGCGCCACGTTCCTGCTTGGGCGCGGAACGCACTTGAGCGGCGCTGCCGCGCCAGAGCCACCTTCGCGTCAGTGCTGGTTTATTTCTTTCCCAGTACGGGGGCACAAAGCGCAGCAGGACGCCGAGGCAGACAATTACGACTACTACGCCCAGAAGCTCAGCCAGAACAAGTATGGGTGGGGCCGGCACAAGGCTGCTCGCATCAATTGCTTGAAAGAAGGTTAACTCCAACTTCATCACTATGAACGGCACAAGGCCAATTCAGCGGAGCCTACGTGTCACGTCTCCCTTCAGAGATGAGAAGGCAAAAATAAATAAATAAGGTATGCATCGATACATGCCGAGAGAGGCACGCAATTATATATGTGCAGTTATACAACAATTCGCCGCCAGCCGTGTTTCACTCCCGAACTATCGGATTCTACCCCGGTGCAGCCTGTGGGGTCCTTCGCAGTTCCCCTCGTGAGAGGCGTCAGAAAAAAAACGGGGGAGGGGGAGGGGAACGGTAAAGCGAGGAGGCAAAGCGCATTTCGGGGCCAACGAGGGGCCACAATAACGCGGCAACGCACGCGAACAACAACAAAAAATGGAACAAAGGGAGAAAGACCTCTCATTCCAGCGCTCTCACGAAGAAACAAATAAAAATAAAAATGGAGGCTCATGCGTTAAACGTCACACACGCACACGCACACACCTCGCTCTATTCCTTCATGTTTGCCAACCTCCTTTACTTTATAGTTGGGCATTGGACCTCGTCTGGGTGGGTTGTTCCTCTACTCAAGCGGGGGCTGCCTCCAAAGAAGTGGCCCCAGAGATGGCGGCCACGCATATATAGCGTCACGGCGAGCAGCACAGTGGCTCCAGTCACGGCAATTATCCACCCCAATTCACGTTGAGTGTTGGCATGGGCCTTCGAAGCGGATGCGGGGAGGACTGGATGTAGCCAGGGTGGCGGCCTGGCCCCCTCTCTGTCCCGCCCAAGTTTAGGGTTCACCCCATGCATGTTTGGCGCCACCGCAAACGAATTTTCTACGCTGCCGTTGCGCTCCGCAAGAGGTATCCGGCGTGGCACAGCGACGTACCCTGGCGAACCTTCTTCCTTAACACACACAAAGACCCTTGGCTGTGGCTCCGTGTACGTGATAAAGGGAAAAGCGACTTGTCGCCAGTCCGCCTGGACCTTGCCGGTATCATCAAGGATGTGTCGCTCATTTTCACAGCCTTTTGCCGAGATGCTGAGAAACAGCGAGGCGGGCCACAGTGCAGAACTGAGCCACACGGTGAAGACGTGTCCAACAACAGGTCTACGGGGATCATCGCAGCACTCCGTGCTTACGTCATACATCAGAGGCGGCTGCAGACGATACAAAAATATTGCATGACGGCTGTACTTGCTTGGGCTTACCGACGCATCCTGTGTCCGGGCTCGCAGAATGTACGTGCCGGGCCTATCGAGAAGAATAGCTTTTCCGTCGTGCAGCCGCCATTTCCCGTCCGGTGGGGCAGACGGCAACGCGTCAAACGCTACTGCGGTCGACAGCGAAGGCAGGTGTGTTACAAGAAGCTGAATGTTCAGGTTTGCTCGGGACGTCGTGTTCTCCGCAAGCGCCAGCGTCACCGCCAAAGGACCCCGTTGAAGCTGCCCAACAGTGGGCGGCGTCGCCACCGGTGGGGCCAGTGAAGGTGACGTCACGTTGTACTCCGCGAGGACCACCGGGCTCGCCGTAAACGCGGCACCGGTCACTGTCGGCGCCGCATACGCCACCGCCCTTACAACGTAGTGCCCAGTACTGTTAAGCAGAAGCTCCGCGCCGTCAACAAAGCGGCGGCTGCGGCGTGTGGGAGCCGAGCCGTCTAAGGTGTAGTACGTGTCGGCGTCTGGCTGGCGGCGCGTGACTGTCACGCCCACCTCCCCCTCGTAACACCCGGACGGAGGCGAAATCGCGGGCGCCAAGACCTCCACCGCCGCAGCACGCGGAGCCGCACAGCCACACAAAAGCAGCAACAACAGCTGCAGCTGCAGCTGCGGCATCCCCGCAACCGGTATGTGACTCACCACCGCACGCGTCATCCGCCTTTTTTTTTTGGTACTCGGCAGCTTCCGCACACGCAAGCCACGCCCCGTGCGTCAGCGCCAAAACTCAAACGAGCCGCGCCTACGACGGACCCCACGGACTTGGAATGTATGGGTGCCTGATAAAACTAAAACGTCGCTGTGGACTCCGTCGAGCGGCACATTCCTCGACCCCTACTGGCAGCAAATCCCGTTGCGTGGGGCGGACACGAAAAAGAAAGAGCCACAAAAGAAGAGAAAAGGAAACAACGCCCACACCCGCATACGTACCGACACGCGTACGCATGCAGAAATAACTTCAAAAAGAAAAAAAACACACATCCGTCGAACGTACAAAGACGCAGCGGCGGCACAAAAAGGAGATAACGAAAGAGGGAGGGATGAAGTAAAGCACACATGAAGAAAGTGAAAAGGGAAAGAATGGGGTGATGGTAGACAGAGAAAAAGGAGAGAAAAAAAAAAGGCCTTTTTCTTTTTTGAAATTCTCAACACAAATACCCCCACATAAGAAAGCCACAACCATGTACATGCAAGCCAGTGAGACATAAATTGAAGGATGATCGTGAGAGTGAAGGTGGGGCGCGGAACTATCCGCTTTTTTTCCCGTCTCTTTCTTTTCCCTCTCGTTTTCATTTTCACTTCGTTCTTCTTCCCCCTCGAGCGTGAGTGCTTTGCGCACGTTTTTTTTTTTTGCCTTTGAAAGGGGTGGGGGACGCACACACAGACACACGCGGAGAGAGAGAGAGAGAGAGACGAAAAAAAGAAAAAAATAGGCGGGAACAGATACATCCCGGGAATAAGCGGCCAGGCACGAAAGAGAAGGCGAGTAGCAACAACCAACAACAACAAAAACAAGAGCGCGATGAAGAGAGAAAATGGGTGTTCGAGCACGCAGCACATGAGATAAGAATATCAAATGAAAAAAAAGAAACACTGCACATGTCACCAATGCACGCAAGCAATGAAAAAAAGTTGAGAATGACTCCAGCAACGTGGACGACGCAGCAACGCCACGGAGAGACGCCGAAGGGCCACACCAGGCAACCACGTCTTATGCAGCGTCGTATTCACGCCTGGTGCGGCTCACACATTCAAGAAGAGTACCCGCACCAGCACAAATCCCTCCCATCTCGTCTCGCTTTTTCATCTCCAACCACGCAAACAAGTTTCTTGTCCGTGTTATCTTCAGTTGTGCAACGCAGGGATGATAGAAGAAGAGTGATTAATAATAAACGAATCCCCATGCACAAGCATACACTATATATATATATATAATTGTGTGTATGTGTGTATATACAAGGATAGGTCAAAAGAATTGCATAGTGAGAGACAAGTGTACATTGTATAAGTGTCACTGGAGAATGAATCGTAAAAGAAATAACAACAACAACAAAAAACGCAGTGCCTTGACGGAGACGCAACCACCACAATATGTTCACACACACACACACACATACACACACCACGAAGGGAAGAAGAGAAGCAAAGAAAAAGCGGTGTGGGGAGAGAGGAGCAGAAAACCCCACGCAAAGGCATTGCTCTGCCGCCCACAACAAGAGTGGGCTTCTCAGTCACGTGCACTGGCAGGCTACGAGGAGCGGGAGAGAAAAAACGGGTTGCGAAAGTATGGAGGAGGCGACGGCAAAGAAAAACTCCCCACCATTGCACCTCGTGGAAGGAACCCACGCTCGTGTAATGTTATGGTTTTTTCTTTATTTTCCTTAGGGGCCACTCCTTGTGCAATTTCCAATCATTCCGCCATCCCTCCCCTCCCCTTTGCACGCACCGCACACCTCATTTCCCCCACCGCGCCCCCAGCCTTCTTCTTTTCTTCTTATTCCGTTCTGTTTCTCGATTTTGCAGGCTCTGTTGTTGTCATTGTTTTTATTCGTCTTACTCTAGAACGCGCGTCCAATGCTGCATGCGTGTTTGCGCTGACGCCGCAGCCCCCCTGTTCCCCTGCGGCTTTCCGTGTTGCTCGCCCGCCTGTGCATTATTCTACGCTGCCAAGACACGGCCAGCTGCGGCCGCGTCGTTGTCGCTGCTTGCACGGCTCACCGCAACGGCCCCACCAAGCCCCAGCAAAAAAAAAACAAGGTCACAAAAAAAACGGAACGCAAGCAACGGAAAAAAAAAAGGCTTTGCGCGTCTCTCCATGTAGCTCAACACATCAACGCCCCAAACTACCACACAGCCAGGAAAGTGGTGGAGGACGGAAGGAGAGGAAAAGAGAGCGCACGCGAGGGGGCAGGCGTAGAAGGGGAAGGGAAAGTGGAATGCAGAAGACAGTGTGGGGGTGGGTGGTGGGAATCTTTGTATTTACACCAAATTTGGCCGCGTCACCCCCCGTTTGCGCCGTGTGACCGCATTTCTCTACGCGCACCCATCGCAAAAGCTCTACAGACATCAATGGGGGAGAGAGCAAGCAACCACAGCTATCCTTCTTCCCCCTTCTCTCTCTCTTTTCTCGTGCTTTCTCCCCTGTCTGCCTTGGAGAGCATTCCCCCCCTTCACCCTGTCCTATCCACCTTCCCTCATTCTCTCTTATGCACATGCGGTTCTTTGCCTGAACGACGTGGGATTACGTTTATCTAATCTTATTGTTTGCCTGCTTGGTCGTTTTTTTTACTTGTTAATGCCTTCATTCGGTGGTTCTCCCCCTTTCTTCTTTCTCTCTCTCTCTCCCTATCCCTTCTTTCTCTTCCTTCTTCTGCCTTTTAAGCCTCTCATTTGCGTTGGCGCCTACGTTTGCTCCCCATGGGTGCGTCAGTATGCACTAACACATTCATTTCCATCCCATGCCCTTCCCTGATACTAACATATACCCCGTATATTTTGATTTGAGCGGCATTCCTCGCCCAGTTTATTTCTCACATGGCATGAGCACCCACACACCCACAGAGTGCCGCATCCGGGGGAAGCACACACACATCCCCGCCCACCCCTATTTCTAAGGTCACTCATACTAATACTCGCTCGGTCCACCTTTTTTTTTTGCCTTGGTTTTGTTGTTTTTCTTCTTTGTTGTTGTTCTTTCCTTTCCGGCCCCACGAGTTATTTGCCTCAGTTATTGGCGTGTGTGTGTGTGTGTGTGGATGTGGAAATTGGGCGAGTGGGTGGGCGGGCGGCGGAGCGGTGCGCCTCTGCTTCCTTCCGTTGTCAGCCGTCGAGCGGGGCTCGCTGCAAACACTTCAACCTCCCGCCCCATCCCTCCCGCAGTGGCCACCAGGAGGGTGTAGTGGGAAATACACAAGTACATACACTGAAAATCCAATACACACCCACATGTGTGTGTGTGTATATATATATATCTACATTTGCCGGTGTGTAAACGGGACGCGTACATTTGCCTGCTTCACTTATTTGCCTTGCTACAAAAAAGTGCTGATCACAACCCGCATTCATTATATCAAATACATATATATATATCCGCAGCTAAGTATAGCTAGACATATAGAAAGTATAGCTAGCCGCATCAACGTACCTGTTGAATTGCGCATTATGCTTCATCAACAGGCATTCGAAGCTTCTCTTCCCGTATGCAATTCACTGGGGTCCCAGCCAACAGTAAACCACGGGTGCTGCATGATCTCCTCCACGGTCACCCGCTTGTTGGGGTCTACGGCCAGCATCTTGGAGATGAGGTCCCGCGCGTCTGGCGAGAAGTGGCGGGCCATGCGGTACTCCCCACGCTCAATCTTTGTGAAGAGCGCATTAACGTTCTCGTCGTCAAACGGTAGGTATCCGGCCAGCATGACAAAGAGCACCACACCGCAGCTCCATACATCCGCCTTGACCCCGTCGTAGCCCCGCTCCTTGAGCACCTCCGGGGCGACGTAGTTGGGTGTTCCGCAGACGGTTTGCAGCATTGTGCCCCTGCCCGACGCGTTCCCGCGGTTGAGGTTACTGAGGCCAAAGTCAGAAATCTTAAGCGTGTCGTTCGCGTCAAGCAGTAGATTCTCCGGTTTCAGGTCCCTGTGGGCGATGCCCTGGGCGTGGCAGTAGTGGATCCCGGAAATGAGTTGGTGAAAGTAGCGACGCGCCGTCGGCTCGTCGAAGCGCTTTGCCGCGGCAATCCTGTCGAAGAGCTCCCCGCCCGTGACGAGCTCTAGGACGAGGTAGATGTGATTTGTCGTCTGCATCACCTCACGGAGCTCAATGATGTTTGGCTGATGCAGCATCTTCATGACGGCGATCTCGCGCTTCAGCTGCTCCTCCATCCGCTCGCGCACAAGCTGCTCCTTGTCTATAATTTTAATGGCCCACTCCTTCCCCGTCTCCACGTCGCGAGCGAGCTTCACCTTGGAGAAGTTGCCCGAGCCCAGCGTCTTGCCAAGCTCATACCTCCCGATGCGTTTTGACCCAGCCATCGCGCCTTATTCAGAGTTGTGTTTGGGTGCCTCGCGCTATTCACTGCTTTTGCTGTTGTTGTTGTTTTTCCCCCGCGTTTTTTGATTCCCCGCTTGGTGGGCGCCAGGCGCGGAATTCTTCTTTGCGGTAGTGGCGGTGGCTCCTGCGGAGTAGCGACGGCACCTCAGAACCCGCCGACCTTGCACCTCTCGATACAACTTCACACACGCACACGCACAGAAACACTGGGCCTCTTCCTTGTCGCTCGGTCTACACTACAGACTGAGCGCGTGTGTGTGCCTTTTGAAGTTACGGCCTCCGCGCCTTTCCTCACTGCCTTCCTTTTGTAACGCCTCCCCGCTTGAGGACGTTGCACACTTCCGCTCCTGCTCTGCTGCAGTTGTTGTTGTTGTGTGGTGTATCGTGCTGCGTTGAGCTGCGGCGGCGGTGTGTGCGTCTTGCCCTGAGCGCTTCCTCCTTCGCTTCCTCGCACGCGCACACGTTGCCGGGCGCACACACAGGCATACACATACAGAGAGAGAGAGAGAGAAAGGCAAAGGCCTCGTGAAAGCTGCAGGCACGTCCCCCACCCCAACCAACGCACGCGACACGACAAAAAAAAACACGCAGGCACGGCCACAGACAGAGGCAGACACACAGACACGGAAAGAGGGAAGAAACACACGCGAAGTACAACGGCAAGGAGTAAAAACTCAAGGGGGAAAAAAAACCACTCACCCCTCGTTGTGTATGTATAGTTTTAGTTGCAAGTAACCGCAATGGTGGCTTCGTCGCGTCGCTCGCGCCCAGTCGCCTTCATTTACAGGGAAAAAGCGGTCCTGTGGACCCGCGACGGAGGGAGAGACAGGCAGGCATGCATGCAACTCGTAAATTAGCAGAAAACATATACGATGAAACAACAACAAGAACAGCAGCAATAGAAGTCATCGGTGCACGCAAACAAACGCAACCACCACAAACATGAGCGAGCGGCACGCAGGCGAAACATTACGGCAAGAGCAAGGCCCGCAAAGCGGTGCAGCTAACGATCCGGAGCAGCTCCATAGACAACTGCCAAAAAAGGAGAGGAAGTGGGTAGTGGCAGTAGGACGTGCGAACACACACACACACACACAGAGGCAGGCAGAGAAAGATACAGAGATGGAAAGAGTGAGGCACCGCAGCACGCTTATTGATGCACTCCCCAAACCCTAGCATCGCAGCCCCGTTCCTCCGCCACCTCCTCGTGCAGAAGAATGTCTCCCACTTCAGTCTCCTCTCGTTGGAGAGAAGCAGAGAGCTCGAAGCACAAAACGCAAGCACACTTTACATTAAACAACGCCAACCACAGGAAGACGGCCCCCCACACAGGGACGCACACAAACACACTCACACCGGGGGCCAAAAGCGAAGACAAAGAAACAAGCATTCATCCAAAAGCAGAAGATTACATGACGCTACAGCACTTCGCCTTCGACTTCTCCTTTGATCCGAGGGGAAGCTGGAGAGACGGCACCGCCGCCGTGTCGCCGCATGTCTTTACCTCCGCATGGCACGCAGCGACCACCTCATCGACTTCCTGCGGCTTGTCGGGCACGGCTGGGTTGGGAGCCTCTGGTGCCACGACTGGCACGCTTCCTGTTTCCCGCGGCGTGGGAGCCGCGACTGGGGCGGGCTGTTCTGTCGACACCCTTCTTCGCGTACTGGTCTCCTCAGCTTCCGTATTCGTCGCGGTTTGCTGCTGTGCATTTCCCTCTGACACCCGCCTCTTGGGTTCTGACGCCTTGTGTTTCTCCTCACCCCCCGCACGCTTCAAAGTTTCTACCGGTGGTGTTGCCACTTTTTGTTCCTCATCCTTCACAAGCCGTTTTGGCTCTTCTTCCGTGGCCACAAGCTTCACTTTCTCAGACGGCACTTTCGCCTCCACCTCCTCAGCGCCATGCGCTGCCGCACTATTGTTAGTATCCTTTAATTCGGCATTTTTATCGTCTAGGTGAGCTGATCTCGTCGTCGTCGGCGCTCGGTGGGACAAATTGGCTTGACTAGCTTTCTTCGGTTCCTCAGCTACCGGCAGTGCCGCGCCCGGTCCGGCCACCTCGTACACGCCAAGGACAGCCACGGCCGAGGTGGAGGCGGACGCGGACGCCAAAGCCCTGTCCACAGCCGAGCCTCGTTTTTGCTCGTGGGGAAGGAAAGAGCGGTGGGACTTCCCTCCAGAAAGGAGCGGAGAGGCCGATGGGGCGGCGTCCGTGTCACTCTCAGAGGAAACGACGATTTCAGTGGAGCTTATGTACGCCTTGGAGTTACTCCGCTGTGACGAGGTGACTTGCCTTCTGCCCTCCCTCTTTTTGGCCGCGGCGACAGTAGCCACCGACGTCTCACGACTTGGAATCGCTGGCGAGGGCGATTTCGCCCTGGCGCCCTGGCTCTTGCCCTCTACCGGCGTCCGCGGTGAGAGCGCAGATGGGGTGGTAGACGGGCGCGGCGTGGAAGCCCTTTTGATACTTACACGCCTTCTGCCCGCCCCCGCCGGCACCGCGGCAGAGCCGTGCTGAGCAAGCGCTGAAGACCGCCTCGAGTTCGACTTGCTGGTGAGCGAGATTACCGTGGCGGCGTTTAGGTTCGAGATGCTCCTGCTGGATGGGTTGCTCACACTGTTTGAGCTGCGCCGCCTGCCCTCTCGCTTGGCGGCAGACCTGGCGTGACGCCTTCCTTTCGGCCCGCGCAGGGTGCTGAGTGACGGTCGAGCGCGAGCAGACAGCACCGGCGAGGGCGACGACACCAGTCTTTCCGGGGACGCGCTCGACGAGGAGACCTCAACGGTAATAAGCAGCGCCCCCGCATCACCCTCGTCTTGCGAGGGGAGGCGGGCGGCGGCCGTGTCGGCTCCCGGGGCAGCAGCGTCTTTTCCCACCGACTTCCCGGCGGTCCCTCTGTTGCACGGGGCCGTGCTGGCAAGCTGCTGGGGCCCATGCGGCGTTGATGTGGAATCGACCCGCGACAGCCCCTCACTTATGACGTCCTCCTCCACCCCTCGAAACGAAGAGGTGGGATGCACGGCCACATTTGCGTTTGACGCGGCTTCAGTGCCGGAGCTCCTTCTGTAGTGAGACGTGCTGTCAAGCAGCCAGTCCATCTGTGAGCCCCTCAGTTTGCTTAGTGGCTCACAATTCGTCAGCTCCTGCAGCTCCTCGTGCATGTTAGGAGTTCTGTGTTGATACTTTTCTTGCGTCTTTTCCTTTTTTTCCTCTGCTTCTTCCAAAGGCATTTTGAGCATGGCAGACGCAGGACACGGAGGAAATCTAATCTGCAGAAGTGTCCTTTATAATTTAACACTCTGCCCTGTAGTTTCGCCGCGAACGCACTCACTCTCGCGGGGTCCGTCTGTCGTTGCCCCCCCCCCCTACTTTTTTTTTTCTTGATGTTGTTTATTTGTTTGTTTGTTTGTCCCCCGCTCTGTCCAACACGCACGGGCGCCTCTCCTTCTCGGGCCCACTCAAGCAGCTCTCCGCAGTGCGGCGGGTGTGTGACGTGTGTGGCGGGTGCCGGGGCGAGGGGCGAGGGGAGGGTTGCGAGAAGAAGCCGATGCGCAGCGGTGGGGGGAGAAGAACAGCGGCACAGAGGGAGCACAAACGCATTGAGGCGAAGAAGCAAGCAAAGAAACACACACACACACCGGCCGACCCCGTTTTTGCGGGTGCGTGGAGGAGGCACTCAATCCAAGACAAGTAGGCAGAGAAGCAATGAAAGAAAGAAGGGGTTACTTCAGCGGGTATAAGCAGCGGCAAACCGCAGGGGCGCCGCACGCGGTTCCAACGGGGTGTGTGAAGGTGGGGAGGGTTTAACGCACCCCTCTGAGCAGAGAGACGAGTACACATAAAAATAAACAGCAGCCAAGAAAAAAAAAGAATAAGCCTAGTTTAAAAGGTGAATTTTAAGGGGGAAACGAGGACAAGTAAAATGAAGAGTGAAACTTCAATAATGAAAACCCACACACTTGCCTCGTTTAGTTGCGTTCGCGCCGCTGGAAACCCGCGCGCGCATGCCTCGTCTCTTCTCTCGCTCGCTGTAGCGGATGCTGTTGTGTGGGTGAGGGGAAAGGGGGGGGGGCTTAATCCCTCTCATTTGCCCGCTTCCATCGGCCTCCACGTCCCGACTATTCCGCGTTACTGTATGCATGCGTGCATGCGCCTCCGCTACCACCCCCGCGTGTGTGGGCGGCGGCAAATAAATAATAAACACAAACAAGCAAAAACTACAAAAGTAAACAGGAAAATCGGAATGGATTCAAAGCTGCAGACATCAGCACACACACACACACACAGGAATAGTCGCGTATATATTTATTATATATGCACAACCGCTGTGGATGGATCGGCGTTTCTTCGGCGCAGCCGCTGCTAGCTCCTTGTAGCCGTTCTTCTCGTTTTCCATCCCCGCCACATCTCCTATGTGCTTTGTCTGCGTGTGGGTGAGAGTGGTGGCAGCAGAGACGGAGGGTGAAGCAAAGAGGGTGCGGTGCCGGGCGCAGCGGCAGAAGAGATCCACGGGGGTGTCTCACATGCACACACAGAGACACACGCACACACACAAAAAAAAGTAATGTGAATCACAGCTTTCCGACTAAATCCCTATAAGAAAGAAAAGAGAAAAAGAGAGGCAGGAAAGGGGATCGTAGCATCCACGCCAGTTGTGGCGAGGTGTCAATGGAGCGCCATGGAGCAGCAGCGAAGAGGAGGGGAGAAGGCAACTGGAACAGCAAGGCACCACAACAAGCTCAATGATATATAAATCTACGGGTAGTTGGATAGCACGCTCCTTAAGAATTGCATAGCCGAGGGTGGCACACGCATAATCCATGCAAAATCATTTGTGGACCCGGAAAAAGCCGCCGCCGCCGAATATAAAAGAAGAAGTGAAACGCAAAGTAAAAAAAAAAGAACGAAGGCGGGCGGGAGGCGGAAAATGGGGAGAAAGTTGGCATTCCGGAGGAGCACAATCACGCACCACACACATCCAAATGTTGCCCCCCCCCCCCGGCCTCACTTCCCCGCCGCCCTCTTTGTTACTCCCGCCACACCCACTGTTCTCCTGCGTGTGGCCGGAGCGGAAAAAGGGCGCGGTGCGAGAGAAGCAACAAAGCGGGGGCCACCGACAAGGCATGACGCAACGAAAAAAAAAAGCACAGGAAGAGGGGAGTAGGAAAACGCAAACGGCCACACACGGAAGAGTTCTAAAAACACGCAAAAGAAAAACAAAGCAAAAAAGGAGGGACATGCAGGGAAAAGAGACAGGATGGGGGGGGAAAGGTCGTGTGTCGGAGCAAAAAAAAAACTTACAAGATACAGTGTGGAAAGGCAATACGTATTTAGGAGCTCCCTCTCATGTGTTCGCGTTCCCTCTTCCTTCGCTCGCCTCCGAAGTGGCTTCCATCCCCACATTTGCTTTTCGCATTCATTCCACTCTTGTCCATTTCCTGCTCGAGGCATGTCACTGCACGTGTCCCAGGGCCGTAATATATTGGCCTCCCTCCTCCTGTCTTTCTGTATTGGCTTCCTTTCACGCATTAGTCGTAGCCGCACACCCTTCTTTTTTGGGCAGCCAGTTTTTTTTGGGTTTTTTTTTTTGCGCCTACGGCACTCCACATAAATCCTCCCTCCTCTCACTTGAGTCCCCTTTGGCTTTTCGTTTCTTTTTTTGTTTTTGATTCCGTCTTCCCTCCTTTCTCTAGTTCATCTCCACCAGCTTTGCGTCCGCCGCCTCTCCGCCCCTACTCGGCCTTCTCTCGTCTCCACTCGTCAATCCGCCATTTTTTTGTTGTTGCCCCCAGAATTTTATTCCCTCCGCCTAAATTTCGCTTCACCCTCCTCGTTTCTCCAGAAACTGTCTTGGTTTTGTCTCTCGGGATTCCTGTGGAGAGTGCGGAGGACGTCACTTCTCCCCTCTTTTTCCTGCCGGCGTGTCTGTTGCACTGCCTCTTGCCGCCCACCCGCAAAAAGATATAAAAAACACAAAAAAATTCTCTCTTTTCCTTTTTTTTGCCTTACTTTTCCTTTCGGTCCTTTTTTTTCCTTATCTTTGGCTGTTTTGTTTCCTTTGCTTGTTGTTGCTGTGTTTTTTATTCTTCTTCTTCTTCTTCCTTCACACATCGTCCACTCTCCTCCTCTTTTTTTTTCTCCGCTTTTGTTACTTTGTTTGTTTGCTTGCTTGCTTTTTTTCCTTTTTGCTGCCTTCTCGGCTCAGCAGCAGCCGCCGCTGTTGCTGCTGCCGCCGGAGGGCCGGTTGGCGCCGGAGAGGAGGGGTTTGCTGTTCGCCGCCCCACCGCCGGCCCCGCCGCCCTGCGCGGCCAGTCGCTTCTTGATGTCCATCGCCATGCGGGTGAAGGCCTCCTCGACGTTCGAGGCCTCCTTCGCGCTGGTCTCGAGGAACGGGATGCCGAGGTTGTCGGCGAAGTCCTTCGCCATCTGCGTGTCAACGGCCTTCTTCAGCACCAGGTCGCACTTGTTGCCGACAAGCAGCTTGTTTACATTCTCGCTGGCAAACTTGTCAATCTCGGAGAGCCACGTCTTGACGTTGTTGAAGCTTTCCATGTCCGTTGTGTCGTACACGATGATGATGCCGTGGGCGCCGCGGTAGTAACTACTTGTGATGGTGCGGAAACGCTCCTGCCCGGCGGTGTCCCAAATCTGCAGCTTCACCACCTTGCCATCAAGGTTAAGGGTGCGAATTTTGAAGTCCACGCCAATGGTGCTGATGTAGCTCTCTGTGTAGCTGTCGTCGGCGAAGCGGAGAAGAAGGCACGACTTACCCACGCCACTGTCGCCAATGAGAAGCAGCTTGAAGAGGTGATCGTATTCCGCGGACATTTTCCCGCCTTCCTCTTCTTCGAGTGCGGGTGTGGGTGCTTTTGTGGCTGGGGTTTTGCTGGGTTGGGTTGGCTTTGGTTTGCGTGCGGCTACGAATAACCTGCTCTGGTAGGCGTATCCACCTTGCGACGGCGCGATCACTCTCTCCGGGGCCGCCGGGGAGGAGGGAAGAAAAGAAAAGAAAAAAAAAATAAAATGAAAATAAAAAGAAGAAAAAAAAGCTCTCCCGCCAGGAGGCGCGCCCACGGAGGCAGGTGTGTGAGGGAAAAGCAAGCGGGGACTGCGCCCACAGGCGGAACTTGACAGACCGCGCGGCGGCGGCGGCGGCGGCGGCGGCGGCGGCTTTTGTCGTTCGCCGTGAAGAAGCAAAAACCGCAGAAACCACAAACGCCCCACAGCGAGGCGGGAGAGGCGGCGCCGTTTGCAACTTCCCCGGCCTCAGCCCCGCACGTGGCGAAGCGGTGACAAACCCAAGGGAGAGTGAAAGACACAACAGGAGCACCGCAGGGGCCTAAGAAAAAGAACCAAAGAGAGAGACTGCATAGTTTGAGAAGGCGTCTACGCGCGCAGGAGCCGCGCAAGCACCGCAAAAAATAATTGCGGTCGCATCTGCACGCACAGTAAATAGACACCCGGAGGCGTCCAATGATGTCTTTTACTTTTTTGATGGAACGCCGTGGCAGACACCGCCGCCAAGGAGCACCAGGGGCGTGCACCTGGCGCCTAAGCCGTGGGGCCGAGAAGTCAGTCAACGGGTTTGCGTCGACTCCGGGTGTGGGCCAAAAGAACACCGGCACAGGAGCCCGCGGGAACGGGGTGGTGGCGCCCAAGCGAGGGCAATCTCCCAATGAGACGGCAAAGACGAAGGAGACAACAACAGCAACGACAAAGCGAAGAGCCTGCGTAGACGTCGCCTTTTTTTCCCCTTTTATTGTTGTTGCTATTGCGTCTTCCGCACCGCCCCAATTTTGTCTACGCAGCCGTCATTACTTTTATGCGCTTTTGCAAAGCTCCTGCCTCCCCGCCGAGGCGCAGAAACACACGGTGTCACATCCAGCAGTCACCCACGCACCGTTCGCCGCCACATCTCACGGCGATAAGCGCAGGACTGTTTCCAGCCTGTGCTTCCTGGAATTCCTTGCTCTTTGTGAGCCAAAGCTGCATCCGCTGGCCTACGAAAGAACGGAGCAAGAAGGGAGGTTGAAAAAAAAAAAACTCTTCAGGAAGCTCATTGCAACGCGGAGCATATGATGACTCATAGCTTCAAAATCCCAATTGTGCAGTTTCATTGGCGACGCGTGCGCATGCACGGAAGTCGAGCCTAAAGTATTAATATGTATATATATATATATATATATTTTGCAGAGAAGGGGAGAACAAAAACGAATAGAAAGAAAAAAAAAAGAGGCGTTGGCGTGGTTGGTCCTGCAGTTAGTACGACTGTCAAGGCGGAGTCCGTCCTCTCTTCAGACTGAGTCTCGTGGTACTATTCGCTGTATTTGTGGTAGCAGCGGCAGAAGGGGGAGAGGCAGCGACCAAGAAATAAAAGGGGAAAAAGGAAAAGGAAAAAGGCGACAGACAAGCACACATATAGGCACCATATCCACAGCAAGCAGTCGGTCATGTGTTTTCTTCTTCCCTTCTTTCCCCCTTAGGCTTCTTTATTGGTGCTCTCCTTAGGGTTGTTTCCACAGAGAAAAAAAGCGGGGTTGCGTCCTTGTTTGCCTCCTCCTTCGTTTCCCTCCAAGGCCTTCCTTATGTGGATAAAAACAAAGATGCGCGGGGGGGCGGCTCATGTGGTGGTAACTGAGCGACATTACACGTAACAAAGTGGCGCTGTCTATACTAACTGGAGATCGTTTTATTCCTGCTGATGCTGCGCCCTCCTGCCCCATCCGTTTATTCACCGCACCACACAGTGGATCCGCGCCCACTTAACTGCCCGTCCAAAGTGTCGGCGCGGAGGCACCCCCTCTACCGCAAAAACCATTCCACGTTGCGGGCCTACAACACTTAGACGGATTATCGATTATCGTTACCAGTACAGATATATATATGTATATATATATGTGTGTGTGTGTGTGGTCACAAGCGTGAAAAGCGTGCCTGTCACTGTCAGCCTCGCTGTGGGTAGTGTCGAGTGGGAGAAGAGCTCTACACGCGAACAGGTGACCAGACGTAATTCCCCCCCCCCACTCCACTCCACTCCACTCCACTCTTTCACGTTTCCTTTCTCCGCACAGCATCACTCCCCGCGTCAGGTGCACCTTTGGCCCTTGTCCCTCGTCGTCAAGTTTGTGTTACCGCTGTTTTTTTTTCCCCTCCTCTTTGCGTTTTATCTTCTTCTCCCCCGTTTCTCCCTTCTGTTCGTGAAGTCTCTGCTATCATTGGTTCCCCTCACCCTCACACAGCGCCGCCGTGGCTGCTATGCCATTTCTTTTCCTGTTTCTTCCTCGTTGCTTTTCCTTTTAAAGTTTCCCCTCCTGCTGCTGCAGCCCTTCCGCTTCCTCCAGCCACACCCTCGCTTCCATTTCTCTTCTCTTTTTTTTTATTTTTACTATTTGTTCTTTTCTTGCGTACTCTCTGCTTTTTTAGGCCCCGTTGGCGTGCAGGGTGAACAAAAAAAAAACAATAGTAATAACAATATGTAAATTATTTTTTTTTCTTTTTTGCACCCTCCACGCCTCCCACCTCCACACGTCCTCGTTTCCCTCTGTCTAAGGTACACCTGCTTTCTTACGTGTTTATCAATTAGTTGTGTTAACCTCCTCGCCCCAACGGCCTCACCAAACACGCGCACGCACGCACACACACAGACATGTGTGTGTGTTTCCATCAAGCCTCCAGCCAAAGTCAGGCAGAAGATGTGCGTGTGTGTGCATGCAGGTGTACGGGGCACACGCCTTCGCGGCATCAAGTAATGTGGAAACATTTTACCTCACCCTCCAATAACCAAGGTAGAGGAAAGGAAAAAAAAACATGTAAATGAAAAGGTTCACTTATACAGGAAACAAGCAGGTGCGCTTGAAAAGAAATCTTCGCCTCTTGTGTTGCTGTTGTCAGGGAGAGGGAGAGAGAGGGAGAGGGGGGCGGTTATCGCTGTGTTCCACAATGCTGTGACCTCTGCACCCCATCGTTTTTCCCCTGTCCACTTCCTGCCTTGTTGTTGCTGTTGTTGTTGGTCAACCCGTATATCTCCTGGAGGGGTCCGTCCGTCTGTTTTTTTTTGCTTCTTCTTTTTTGTAGCCTTAGCTGCCACTTCATTTTCCTGTCTCCGCAGTCATCCTCCCTCTCCCGCTGTGTTATATATAACAGTCGTGGATGGACGCCGTTTATCTTTGTTTTGTTTTTATTTGCGTGCTTGTTTTTTTTTTAGATTTTTTTTCCCCCTTCTTCTTCTTCTTCTCATCTGCTTCCTTTTAATTGCCCTTTTCAGTCACGACGCTTGCGGTAGGCCGGGCTGCTCGATCGCGACCGGCTACTATAACTGCGGCTGCGTTCGCGGCGTCGGCGGTCCCGCCTGTCGCGGCGGCGGTGGTCCCGGCTGTCGTCTGAGTAGTAGCTGCTCCCGCGGCTAGAGCTGGAGCGGCTGCTGTAGCTGCGGCTCCTGCGGCGGCGATAGCGGCGGCGGTCGGGGCTATCGCTTCTACGGCTACGGTGACGGTGGCGACGACGGATGGGGCTGCGGCTACGCTTCTCCACGCGGCCACCGGAGCGGGAGTTCTTGTTGTCGCGGCTGTACTGAACGGAGAGGCGGCAGTCGCCAATGTACTGATTGTTGAGTTCGTCAATCATCCGCGACGCCTGCGCCACGTCCGCCACGTCGACAAACGCGCACTGCCCCCGCCGCCGGAAGCCGGTGATGGGGGCGACCTCCTCCAGCTTGCCGCGCAGCTCCTTATCGGAGATGGCGCCGCCCGCCGGGCCAAGACCGACAAAAAGCGACGTCCTGCCCGGGTTGGCCCCGTTCTTTTTATTACTGCTGCTGTTGTTGTTGTTGCTGTTGCTGTTGGCCGGAGGCCGCTCCTTCTCCTTGCTGCGGCTGAGCTGCACCGCCATGCGTGCCTCGCCAATGAGTTTCCCGTCCAACTCCGACACAAGCCGGGCGGCGGCCTCCGGATCAGGCACATCTGCAAAGGCGCAGCGGCCACGGATGCGCACGCCAAGCACCGGTGCCACCTCCTCAAGGCGCTCGCGCAGTGCCTCGTCAGAAATGGTGGAAGCGGCGGGGCCAAGTCCAATAAAAACAGATGTCGTCGCCGGGGCTGGGGCGGTCACAGGCGTGGTGTTGCTGTTGTCATTGTCTTGGCTGGCGACGTGGGGTTGCTCTTCAGCGCTGTTACCACTTCTTGCCTCGGACATCCTCTCGTCGATGTGCTTGTGAGTTTGGGCACGGCCTTCAAGAAGGGTACGTGGGAACGACTCACCGGCGCCAAGCACACGCAGAGAGAGTGAGAGAGAGAGAAACGCCGTGTAGGGCACGGCAGCCAAAGTGAGAAGAGAGAAAAGGGAAAAGAGAAGAACGGCGGGATGCAGAGGCAACGGGCAACGCACACGAGCTCCAGCGGAGAAACGAGAGACACGATGTGCGTGCGTGTGCGTGTGTGTGCGTGGAGAAGGAGCGAGCCAACACCTCCGTGAGAGGTGGGCGTCTCTCCCCCAGGACGAGTAGAAGCAGAGAAACGAAGAAAAAAAAACGCTGGAAAATAACGAAGAAAAAAACACGCAGAAGAAAACAAAAAGAAAACAAACAAACAAAAAAAGTAGAAGGTAGTTTGCACCAGTGGTAGCATTGAAAACATTGGCGACGCTTCCCGCACATGGGGGGGACGGTCAAAAAGAAGAAAAGAAAAGAAAAGAAAAAAACAAGAAAATAAAAATAGGGCATTGAATGGCTTTTATATTTTTTTTTGGTTTCGTTGTTTTTGCCGCAGTTCCCTGTTTACGGAGCCCAGTCGCTGGCGTCATGCCTGGCGGCACGGGAGGCACACACGCCGGGAGCGGGAGCGAGACGCTGCTCCTTGTGGACCGCAACCGCCGCCTCCACCCGTCCCAAAACACCCGGAAGCGAACTTGAACGATTTATTATCGCGGTACAATTAAGCAGAAGAAAACAAAACAAAAAAAAAACACGCACGCACGCACCATCCACGCAGTGTCCGTCGCCGGGTTACTTACGCACACGTACAGCACATGCACACAACTCAGTGAAGTGGCGGCAAACAAAATTAGGCGAACAGCGGGGGCGAAGACGGGCAAAAAAAAAAAAAAACAGAATACGGCCGCGTGGTGGGGGAAAAAAAAAGGGGCACAGAAAAAAGAAGGAAAAAAAAAGCGGGAGTAGGCGCGTCGTGCGGATAGAGAAAGAGCGAGGCAAAGAAGGGAATGCGGGCAGAAGCAGAAAGAAACATTGTCGACAAAGACGGAATAGGCTTGCACAACGTTTTTATTTTATTTTGTTTTTACTT